ACCCTCCAAACTTCCCCAAAACCCCCCCCCCCCCTTCTTTGGCATAACCCCTCAAAGATTTGGCCAAATTCCACCGTGATTTCACATATCGAAACCTAGAAATTTCTAGGTTTTTCCGATCGGTTTTCCGGTGATTTGAGGTGCTTTCTGGCCAAATTGGCTGTTGATCCAGTTGGGTAAAGTATGTATATGAGTACTTGTGAGGGTTGTTTGGGAATTGTTGTTTTGCAATATACGCCTTAGATAGGGTATGGTTGTAGAAAAGAGTTGATTATACTTTCAGCACTAGCTTGGAATGAATTTAAGTGGTGACGAAATGTTTAGGGATTTGGATGAGTGCATGAGTCGAAAATGGCCTGATAGCCGGGTTTGGTTTCAGTAAAGATTAAATTAATGTTTGATTTTGGATTTATATTTAATTATGTGCTCCATGGTTTGGAATTGAAATGTGGAATTTTGGAACTGATGAATTATGAATACTGGTTTTCTGAATAGTATATTTTACGTATGGTCTTTATTTTCGAGGATGGCATGCTATGCTTATGTTCTTTTGATTATATGTTGACATTTTCAGCATGTTGCACGCAAGCTACGTGCAAGCCATGGTGTAAGATCCCACATCGACCAACGGAGAGGGGGTGATGTGCCTTATATGTACATACTTGCATCCATCTAGCACGAGACCTTTTGGGAGCTCACTGGCTTCGGAGTCGTGGGAACTCCGAAGTTAAGCGAGTTGGGGGCTAGAGCAATCCCAAGATGGGTGACCTACTGGGAAGTTAGTCGTGAGCTCCCAGAAACAAAACCGTGAGGGCCAGAGAGGGGGGGGCCCAAAGCGGACAATATCGTGCTACGGCGGAGCTGATCCGGGATGTGACAATTTGGTATCAAAGCCACTTTGCCGTGTGGTGCGAGTGTGCCGACGAGAACGTTGGGCCCTTAGGGGGGGTGGATTGTAAGATCCCACATCGACCAACGAAGAGTGGGTGATGTGCCTTATATGTACATGCCCGCATCCATCTAGCACGAGGCCTTTTGGAAGCTCACTGGCTTCGGAGTCGTGGAAACTCCGAAGTTAAGCGAGTTGGGGGCTAGAGCAATCCCAAGATGGGTGACCTACTGGGAAGTTAGTCGTGAGCTCCCAGAAACAAAACCGTGAGGGCCAGAGAGGGGGGGGCCCAAAGCGGACAATATCGTGCTACGGCGAAGCCGGTCTCGGGATGTGACAATTTGGTATCAGAGCCACTCTGCCGTGTGGTGCGAGTGTGCCGACGAGGACGTTGAGTCCCCTAAGGGGGGTGGATTGTAAGATCCTACATCGACCAATGGAGAGGGGGTGATGTGCCTTATTTGTACATACTCGCATTCATCTAGCACGAGGCCTTTTGGAAGCTCACTGGCTTCGGAGTCATGGGAACTCCGAAGTTAAGCGAGTTGGGGGCTAGAGCAATCCCAAGATGGGTGACCCACTGGGAAGTTAGTCGTGAGCTCCCAGAAACAAAACCGTGAGGGCTAGAGAGGGGGGGCCCAAAGCGGACAATCGAGCTACGGCGGAGCCGATCCGGGATGTGATACATGGCATGACAAGGTTTGAAAATTTATGTCGACATTTTCAGCACTCTGTGCGCATGCTGTGTGCGTGCAAGCTTCGTGCATGATGTGCGCAGGCTACATGCAAGGGTGGGCATGCCAAGCTTCCAATAGCCTCACTTCTCGAAATAAAACGTCAACTAACTACCTTATCATCATTTACTGGATTCCGAGACTGTGAAAACAATAAAATAAATACTTCAGGATATTATGCTTGTATATATTGGTACTGCGGTGATATTGCATATACCAGAATAGGCAGGGAAGAATTCAAACAACACAAGATCAAGAGGATAAAAAGGCACACCTGTAAAGTAGGTTCTTATCTATTCCATCAGCCTCGCTGGGGAAGCATGTTTTTGATATCTCTTAACTTATTGTGCCTCTCAATGTAAGGAAAATCGCCCATGCCATTCCACTGGACAAAAGATGAGAACTGTATGGCATGGTTGAAGAATTCTCTACCACTGATGAAGTCGAGCATTCTTGTCCATCCTGCCATCAAAATCCGTTGCATTCAGGTAATATAAATTTCCAAGTTCAAAGACAACTTGAGATATCTAAATACGCAACTCCTTCTATAACAAGTGCCTCAATACTTAAAGGTTTCCGAGTGCACTTCCCATTATGTCTTAACGAGTCCTTCACCCATAAGCTCAAACACACGATATCGTATTGACAAGGCAACAAGATAATGAAATATAAGAGAAATGGAAAAAATAAAAGCCTATGATTTTGTTCAATTGAGAAGATGCTAGATACCTTGTGAGAAACACAGTTTTTGAGAATTGCATACACAAACTGTGAAAAGCAATCTGGGAGACTAGGCACTGTTCTCAAAACCCAAGAAAGAAACTTCCCCACAGGAAGTTCAACTTCCAAACCCGAGAGCTGGCAATCCCACACATTCAAGCCACTGCCAACTTCAGCGCATGAAACAATAGCCGACGAAACAATCTGATTAATATCCGGCAGAGGTAAATCTGTTTTCTCTTTGGAAATTTTCGAAGTCCTAGAATTCCAGGAAATGGCCCAACACATCCAAAGAAGCATAAGCACGTCCACGGGCTTAAGCGACCCGGTTATCCTACAGTCAACACCATCAGATTCAAAATCCAAGTTCGAAGGCGAACCCGCTTTTTGAAGTGCCACAACAAACACTCTGAGCAATATATTAAGCGACACAGACGCAGACATTCTTGCACAACACTTATTGTAGCCCCTAACGAACTCAACCCAGCTCACTTTGCCATTCTCCGAGACGAAAAACAGGTCCAGAATTGACGAACCAAGATGATCCAACAGCATCGGAAATGAATCAGGCATTGTAATTTGTAAGAGCTTCACATACTGGGTTCTTGTACGTTAACAAGAAGCATTGCTGAAAAATTGAAACGCAAAAGCTTCAATTTCTGGTTTATAGAGGCATAGAATGAAAATTGAATTCGAGGAGTTGAGTTGGCGTTTTGAATCTACCTGAAGAGAGTTGAGGGGAATTGCATTCATTAGAATCAGGATCGGCGAGGTTGGAGAAAGATTTCTGAAGCATAGAAAGAGCTCCAGTGGATGCTGCTAGGGTTTCCGCCTCTCGTTGCTTGATCGAAACCTTCTGCTCCGTCGAAGTTGATGCTCCCATTTTCACTGGATTTTCTCCGCAACCGGATATTCTTTTCTTTTCTCAACTCAATATAATATATTGCGCCAACTTACCGACTTGTCTGTCTGCGTTTCTTTAGTTAGAAGTTAGAAAGAACGATCTCACAATACGGTGTCGTTTTGTTCCGGTGAGGAAACGGCCACGTGGCAGGAGTGATGCTTAAATCATGCCACGTTTCGGGTAACGGTTATTGACTGGATCTTAATTTCCAAATCCAGCAACCCGACCTTTTTTCAGTTCGGGTCCAAGATACAGACTACAGATACAATTGTGGAGAGCAGCGACTGAACCACCGCTCAGGCTCAGGGGTTGCAATCCGATTAGGGTTTTGCCGCAAGCACTCGACGAGTCAAGCTGAGATCGTCATCACCAAATCCAATGGCACCTCCTCCAGGCCCTTACTCTGGCACCAGCACCCTCGCCTTGATGCACTCCTTTCCTTTCCCTCTGATCTCTTCTGCCGAGGAATGTGATCGTAAAGTTTATTTCTTTAACTTTTGAATGTTTGATAGGTTGCTCGTGCATCGGCCTTCACTTTCGGTCTGGTTTATGGAAGCGTGAAGCTCAGGGTTCTCAAGGTGCTTCCTGATCTCCTTCGATTTGACTTTGTTCTTATTGAATACTATATTTGCTAAAAATTCCTTATTGTATATGAGTATATTTCGAACTGATTGGCAATCTTGTTTGCGTGTCTGCTTCTTCATGTTCTTCTTTGGGATTTAAAAATGCTTCAACTTTTGTACAAAGATTTGCATACAGAGCATTTTATACCTACGTTTTCTTGTTGAAATTAATCTTTGTTCCCTTAGCCATTTCAACTTGTCTATTGTTCTGTGGTTCTGGTCTTCATATATAAATATATTGCATGCCATAATCATTGTTAGATTTAATTTTATATGCTTCAGTTGGGTGGTTGTTGTTGATTTTAGGCCTTTTCATTTTAGGAGATTTCTAGGCATCACCGTCTTGGATTTTATGGCCCTTTAATTGCTCTTGCAAAGTAAAATGAGAACTGACAATTGGTGATATGCCTCTTTTGCATAAAATCAGCCTGTTTCGTAGCATTTAGGTCCCAATCCTAAGTCCTACTACGAGGCCTGAACGGGGTCCTTGAAACTACTTTCAGAATTTCAAATGCGCTTTTGATTTCAAGTCCGAAATTTCTGGATTCCTATATGCCAATTCAATTCCGAAGTTTCAGATTTTTGTGAAATTCAGGATTTTTAGTTTTGCAGAAGTGTTTTGGAATTTTCAGATACTATTGAAAGTAGATACGTTGAACTTTTCCTCTCCTTCATTTGCTTTGCCTTGGGAAAAAATTAAGAATGAGAAAGCACCTTCACTTGCCTTGCCTTCAACTTTTCTTGCATTGTATAGACGTTTATTTACTTTCTTCTTTTGATTATTGGATGAAGGCCAAGTCACATAAGAAAGCTGAAGCCAAGGCTAAACATTGACGGGCTGAAATGGTTGCCGCAGGGCAACATCATTATAATTTCTTGCCAGAAGAACGTTTATTTTATGTTTTAGTTAGTACCCTTTAGAAGCTTCAACCATAGGCTGAGTGAGTGCCAGCCTTTTCGGATTGTTCTTTTGTAGTTGCATAAGTAGTATCCTTGAAGAAGCTATGTGTAAGACTGGTCTTTTCTCCTGTTTCACCCTTTTATTTTTACTTCATTCGTTGGCGTTTTTTGTGTTGTCTTGATTCTTGCAAGCAACATTCTTATGTTTTATTACTTTTTTGTACTAGCATTTCTTCTCATCTAAGTCTTCCTAGCCCTTTCTGCTCCAAGGTTACGGAAAATTTGGAATTCATAATTTTGGTGGTAGAGCATTTACCTTCGGAAATTTTTTGTTTACACTACATTATGCAACTCTAGGACAGCAAAAAGGACACGTTATAAGCAGTCGAGATTGTGTGTACAATTTTGTTAGCCAATATTATTATTGTTCTTATTCTTATTTTGAAAAGTAATCGTTAGCCAATATTATTAGTGTTGAATAAAAATAAAAATGAAGAAAAAACTTAATCAGGATCCCAACCCGCGAGTCACATAGGAAAAACATTCTAGAAGATTCTAGGCCCAATATCATTTTTGTAACCCATGAAAAGGGCCAATTTGTTGAGTTTCACTTTTGGGATAGAAACATAATTACTTGAAGCAATGGAGAAGGTAATTGATATTTTAAGTATGTGTTTTAATTGTTTTTGAACCAATTGGGTACTCCAAAAAGTGTTCTATGATCCGGACTCCATCTGTATCCTCGTTTATTCGAGAAAGGCTCAGCCGTACAAAGGTCCTCATTGTTCTTGATAATGTGAATGATTCAAGCCAGATAGAATATCTAGCATGTGGTGGTCATCTTAAGTTCGGCCCTGGAAGTAGAATCATTATAACTAGTAGAGATAGGAGTCTAATTAAGAAAACTGTTCATCATGATAAGATTTACAAGTTTGGTCGTAAGTACAGATTGATTTCATCGGCATTGAAGATTGGTGTTTCCGTCAGAGATATGGCTGCAGCCTTAACCGGACCGTACGTACCCCAGTGGGTGAGTGACCAACCAGCCCAACCCAACCACTCTGCTGGCCAATTGTAACCTTCCTCACTTTGTTCACAATTTCACATGCATCTCTCATTTACAAATTAATTATATCTCTTTACACCAACTCCATCCTGCAGCCTTAACCGCGCTATAAAAATATAGTATTAGAAACTATGATCAATTAACCACTTGCAGGCATATAATATCACCACGACCATTTGACCCAAAAAAAATATATCACCACTACCATCAATTATCACAAAGCAGGAAGTTGCTTCGCAAATATGATGACAAGCAAGTGGCTTAGTATTATATGAGTGTATAGAAATATTAAAATTATAATTCTTTAATTGAGTGGTTAAATGGTTTTATATTCAAAACTATAAAACCAAGTTGGTATCTAAAAAACAGAAAGGAAAAGTTGATATAGATCCAAATTTTCATTGAGAAGTTGGACTTAATCCTCGGATTTGGTGACTTTGATACAAGTCATTTGACTCTTGTGCAACATAAGATTACATTCATTTTTAAATATTTTCGGATGCAAAAAAAAAAAAAAAAAAAAATTCATTTTTTGTTCCAATGTTGCCCATTATGCCTTGAATTAGTTAATAACTAAACCCTATAGGTAGTCTTTTTAATTTATGTTCCTGACTTATAGGTAACACGATTTATAACTAAGTTTTTTCCATTGCTAGTAATAACACTATTGTCCTATATGTTAGGTACATAATTTCATGTGGGTGCTTGCCTGAATAATTGGTATAATATGTGGGTCTTAATTTTTCATTGATTAAATTGTATTTTATCCATATATAGGTAAATGTTATCAAGGAAAGAATTCAAAATTTAAATTCTGAAATTCAATTACAAGGAAATAATGCATTTAATTTAGATTTTCAATGTGTTTTCTTTATTTACCTCAAGGGTAAAATCGACACAGCAAAAAAAATAATAAATGTCAAATGACCTACATCTAAAACCAAAAACGTGTGGACTTAATCCAATAACAGCTAATCGTTTTGGACTTAGATCTAAGAAGCCTAAAAAAAACAGACTAAGAATTACACATAGTATAATACAGTTGACTTTCATCCAGGGTGAAGTTAACAAAGTTAGTTCACTTTCATTGCACAAGCCTCATGCCCAAAACTTTCCCATATGATTGGGAGTTTTATCGTCTCGCCATTAGTCTGGGTTAATATTCAGGTCCACCTTTTGTAATTTCCTGCAACTGCAACAATCTATTGCTTCCTTCCTAATAAGAAAGGCAACGTCTCTGCAACTACTTTCTAGTGCTGAACCATTCAACTCGTTTTCCTAGAAATCTTCCAATAGAAGCTCCTTTCAATGATTTGGAAAAGTCACGTCACGTGGCCTTTGCAATGTTGCACATGACCCTTTAATACGACATGAATTCGCACGTAATTATTAGTATTTGGGTTTAGCTTAATGGGTCGGGTTGAAAAATGATGAATCCGTTAACCACCCATTAAGACTGGTCATGTCGGATCAATTCGCGAATATTTGCGTCCACCCGATAAAGAAGGTAATTCTATAATTTTGTAAAATAATAGTTTAAATTCCCAACACCAACAGACAAAGAGGCATTCCTTTTTTTATTCTTTGTTCTTTTCCTTATCTCCATCTCTCTCTCTCTCTCTCTCTCTCTCTCTCTCTCTCTTATATTATTTTTCTTTCCTTCCTCTTCCTCTCTCCGTCAACTTTCTCATCTCCCCCTCTCTATTTTTTTTACTCTTCTCTACATCTCTCAATCTCTCACTTTTTTCCTTTTCTTCTCCCCTTTCAAAAATTGTCCATCTCTCCCTTTTCTTCTTCTTCTCTCCATCTCTCTCTCTTTTCTCTCCAATATTTTTTTCTTTTCTTCTTCTCTCCCTCGCTATCTTTTTTTATTTATAAATAATCTAATAAATCAACTATTTTGTTTCTCTTGTTTTATCTTTATGCAAGACTAATCCCGAACTTGTAGACTTCTGGATGGTGTTTATGAAAGATGGAAATTAGGCGAAAAAGGGCGGAGAGAGGGGGTTGCTGGCCGGTTGGGTGATAGTTTTTTTTTCCTCCTGGTTTATTTATAACGGGTCGTGTCGGTTCATTCATGAATTTTAATGGGTCATGTTTGGGTATGGTATTTCTCACTCGTTAGCTTAACGGGTCGTGTCCCGTCAACCCGTTAAGTTAACGGATTAACACGAACATGACCATTTGCCAGGTCGCGAAAGGCTGGGGGCTGCCGGTATCTCTTCCACAAGCCATCAAGAGTTGATTTATTCACTCATTTCATTTGAGTTGTTCCAGTCCTTGGTTATTTCATTTTTACGTGTTTATCTCTGATGAATATTATATATTAGCTAGCTAGCCTCATTTCTGAGGTGCATAGAGGCTTCATCCTTTTGAATACTCTTCTAGGGTTTGTAGGTTTTTCATATGGCCTCATCCTCCTCTTCTTCTTCTCCTCCCCCTTTTGCTAATCCCCCTCCACAAAAGTATGATGTGTTTATAAGTTTTAGGGGTGCAGATACCTGAGACACTTTTACCAGCCATCTCAAAGTTGCTTTAGGTCACAAGAAAATTGAGACCTACATGGATGAAAAACTTGGGATGGGGGACAAAATTGGACCTGCCCTCTTGCAAGCGATCGAGAAATAAAAGGTTCTAAAAAAACTATGCTTTTTCCACTTGGTGCTTGGATGAACTTGTGCACATATCGGAATACAAAAAAAGATACGGACAAATTGTCATACCCATTTTTTACGGCATAGATCCATCACAGGTACGGAAACAACATGAGAGTTATGCAGATGCATTTGCTCAACTTGAAGAACGTTTCGAGGACAACATGGACAAAGTGCTCATGTGGAGAAATGCCTTGAAGGAAGCAGCCAATATGTCTGGCTTCGATAATTCAAGAAGAACAGGGTAACTCTTTGTGACCATTTCATTCATATATTCAAGAATCGTTAAGTGCCTGCTACTAAATATATGTGCCGACGAAAAGTTGTCGGGAGAGGTCTATTCCGGCAAAATTCGCCGGGATATATTTGTGTCGACGAACTTTCGTTGGGGAGGTTTTATTATTATTATTATTATTATTATTATTATTATTATTATTATTATTATTATTATTATTATTATTATTATTATTATTATTATTATTATTATTATTATTATTATTATTATTATTATTATTATTATTATTATTATTATTATTATTATTATTATTATTATTATTATTATTATTATTATTATTATTATTATTATTATTATTATTATTATTATTATTATTATTATTATTATTATTATTATTATTATTATTATTATTATTATTATTATTATTATTATTATTATTATTATTATTATTATTATTATTATTATTATTATTATTATTATTATTATTATTATTATTATTATTATTATTATTATTATTATTATTATTATTATTATTATTATTATTATTATTATTATTATTATTATTATTATTATTATTATTATTATTATTATTATTATTATTATTATTATTATTATTATTATTATTATTATTATTATTATTATTATTATTATTATTATTATTATTATTATTATTATTATTATTATTATTATTATTATTATTATTATTATTATTATTATTATTATTATTATTATTATTATTATTATTATTATTATTATTATTATTATTATAAATTTTAAAAAATACCAGTTTAGTATCTTTAATTTAATAAAATATTTAAATACTAATTATTCATTAAGTAAATGATAATTAAAACATAACTACTAAATAAAGTAATTAGAAAAGAGAAATCAAAATTATGCTGTTTAAAGAGTATAGTTGCGCGGAACATATTCTATTCTATTTCTGGAGTAACGCCTGGAGGCTGTACCGTTAAAATATTCTGTTTGTATAGTAAAGCCGCACGGCTGTACTTTATAAATAAAATTAAAGAAGCTAATTTTATATGTTTCAAATTTATAAATAAATTTTAAAAAGCAAGAAAATCTCTCCCGACGAAATTTTGTCGGCACAGGTCTATGCCGGCAATATTTGCCAGATTATACCTCTCCCTACGAAACTCAGCTTTGTCGATGAATCCATCGTCGGGAGAAGTATAATCCGGCAAATGTTCGCTGGGATAGATCTGTACCGATGAACTTTCATCGGGAGAGGTTTCAAAAAAAAAAAACCAGTTTAGTATCTTTAATTTAATAAAATATTTAAATACTAATTATTCACTAAGTAAATAATAATTAAAACATAACTACTAAATAAAGTAATTAGAAAAGTGAAATCAAGATTATGCTATTTAAAGAGTATAGCCGCAAGGTTATATGTAAAAATATTCTATTTAAAGAGTATAGCCGCGCGACTATACCTTTAAAATAGTCTATTTATAGAGTGAAGTCGCACGGCTATACTTCTAACATATTCTGGAGTAAAGCCGTGTGGCAATACTTTTAAAATATTCCTAAAGCCGCACTGCTATACTTTTAAAATATTCTATTTGTTGAGAACAACGGCCTGGCTATACGCTTTAAATGGAATAGTATATCCATGCGGCTATACTATTAAAATATTCTTTTAAACATTTTTTTTTAAAAGTTGCGCTTTTTAGTAATTAAATAATATCTTAGCTTTATTTAAATACTTTCATTAGTAATTGTGTTTTAATTATTATTTCTTTAGTGAATAATTAGTATTAAATATTTTATAAAAATCCTGGAAATTTAGTTTTGGTACCCAAGTATTTTAGTATTCAAAAAATGGAATTTAGCCTTGAAACTTAAATCCAAGTCATAACGTGATTTGATAATATCAAGTACTTGTTGGCGTTTGATTGAAATACATGAACTTGAGACCCACATTAGAAAAGAAGAGAATGTATCAACTATTTATAAGTGGGAGTCTTCCAACACGTGCTATATGCAAGGTGGGCCTAGGGGAGTGGAACTTGGATTTACCCAAACTAATTTTGTATAAAAATAAAATAAAAAGAGTAGTCCAGAAAATAATTTAAAATAATTAATTACTATTTATTAAGTAATTTATGAAATAAGTAAAATATTTAAATATTCGCTAATCAAATAATAATTAAAATATAATTACTCATTAAAGTAATTAAATGGTTTTATATTCGGGTGAATTTTTATAGGGACGATCTATGAGGCAATACCTAAAAGATAAATGGTTTAGATAATTAAAATAAAATGCAGAGTGAGTCCTTATTAAGAGTGACATTAATTGAAGATCTTGGTATAATTTTCTATATATAAAGGCAGAATGTCTTAAAAGTGAAACTTCAAAATCCCCAAATTAACCTTGGTTAATGAAAATATTAAAACAGAAAACATTTTATTAGATAATGTTAAATTAGTACATTCACAACATGTTTAAATGAAATTAAATAAATAATAAAAGAAACAAAAACCCTTATCTGCACTTGCCCATAAAACTATAGGAGACAACCACCTCCAAGACCAAGACTGTAAAACATTTTAGATTATATATATTTTTTGAAGTTATAAAACTCACACGCATGTGCCAAGGGGCTATAACAAGAGAGCCTTTATAACATCACTAAACATTCCCAACTCTTTCAGCTCTTGAACAATCAAACAACATGGATTATGTAACCACTCAATTAGGAGCCTCTTCCTCTTCTTCTCTCACCCCTTCGTGGACATATGATGTCTTTCTCAGTTACAGAGGCGCCGATACACACAACAATTTTACATACAATCTGCATGGCAAGTTGCTTCAAAAGGGAATTAAAACCTACCTTTATAGAAGAGGCGAAGAACTTCCTTTGCCAATGCTTCTAAAAGTGATTGAAGAATCAAGGATTTCTCTCATCATACTCACTGAAAATTTTGCATCTTCCGAGTGGTGCTTGATTGAGCTGGTTAAGATCCTCCAGTGCAGAGAATCAAAGCAACAAATAGTTTGGCCAATTTATTACAAGGTGGATCCCTTGGATGTACGTGACTAACAAGGTAGTTTTGGTGAGGCAATTGTTAATCATGAATGCACATTCAAGGATAACATAGAGAAGGTGTTGAGATGGAGGGCAGCTCTTACAGAAGCAACGAAGTTGTCTGGGTGGTATTTCTTGCACGGGTATATTTTTTACCATGCTTACTAGCTTTTTAAGTTGTTTTTTTAAATCTTGTTCGCTATTTAAAATTGATTTTTTTTTTTTTTTTTTTTGACAAAGTGATGTTCTGAACTTCTAATTTATGGTAGCGGGCACATTGATATGGCTTAACCCACATGTGTCTTCCATTGAGGGATCCCTCAAATAAGTATTTGAGGGACACCCCTTGTAGGCCCCACTCCGGATTGTATTTCACTAATCCAAACCGTCTATTTTGTAGATACTCATTCAAAGATCATCTCTACAAAAAATCACTTGAATCCGATATCATTTGACGACTCAATTGAGTTATTGAAATTTTAGTACTTTCTTGAAACACCGTGTTTATTGATTTTGTAAGACACAATTGGATGTCGAAACGGTTCTGATTTGTCTAATTTTTTTAAGGATGATCTATGAATGAAGACCTAAAAAATAGATGGTTTGGATCATTGGAAAAAATATTGTAGGGTATCCTAAAGGACGTCCCTCAAATAAAATTATTTGAGGGATCCCTCAATAGAAGGGGACTGATTTATATATTTATATATAATATGATATTGATATATTGCATAATTAAGATTAACCAAATAGTTTTCATGAAGATACGACTTCAAACTAATTCCTTCAATTTTGTTTGAAAAAAGTACAAGAGCATGTTTTGTTTCAATTCTGTTCGACTATTTTTATTTTGAAAAATTCATAGTTTTTTAACTTTTTTTTTTTTTTTTTTTTTTTTTTGTGGAAAATGTGTTAGAGAAAATTCAATAACACGTAAGTCTCTCTCTCTTATGAGGAACAGGAAGATGAACTACTTCCTGAGAGAATTGAAAAGAAAAGAAGATTGTAGGTGCAAGATTAACCGCGTTTGTAGATTTTTTTTTTTAAAAGAAAAAAGAGAAAACTACTTCTTCATGTTGTGTGCTTTTCATATTCTGGGCTCTCCCCCCTCCTGTACTGTTGAATTGAATGCCACTTGGTATATGTTGAGGCTGAGGATGCTTTTGGGTTTAGGGGGATGTCCTTGTATAGTCTTTCTTGTTTTAAAACCTCTGCCTATATATTTTTGTGTGAATTTGAAGCGGAATTAAAGATTGGGGCATACTAGAGTGAGATTTTGGTTTGGATGGCAAGAAATTGTGGAAAAATTTGAGGGTTTGGCACATGAATTAATGTGGGGAAAACAGGAAACAAAAGGCAGAAATGCCTTGACATGTGCAAGTCACGTGCCTCTTCTGTGTACCAAATTAACATAATTTTGGGATTTATCTTTGAATTGCTACACTCAATTTAGAAGGGTAAAATTGCAAAAATTAAATATATAACAACCAAAAACGAAAACTAGGCAAACTACATGGACAAAGAGTGAAATTTGACCTTATTTAAAAGAAGAGAAACTACGTAGAAGGAACTCCACTTAAATCTTTATATAAGTAAGGTTTTGAACAAATTATTATATGTAATATTGACTATGTCATATACAAAAGGACATAGATTAGAGGACAGGTGGTGTCTTTCATAATATTAAAGTTTTTATTGAGTTTTTTCAAAAAAAACTCCCTATTATATGACTTGTAAAGTAAACAATAACACCTCCAAAAAGTATTTAAAAAGTATGAATAATTGTATATGACTAAATTTTTTATTTGGTATGACAAGAGACGTATTGAGTTCATTGGAAAAAAAAAGGTACCTAGCAAGAAAATAATAATAATAAAATGAAAACGCGGTAATAGTCTCACTCAATCGACTCCCATCGATGATAACCATCCTCTAATCCATTGACTTTTTGTTCATTTACTCAATATCTTGAGACTTGAATCTTGATATCATGCTTTCACAGAAGAACTCCTTACTTCTTTGATTGGTTGAAACTCTTCATTCTTACAAATTACAATCTTGATTGCTTCCTTTTGGACAAGATAAAACATGGTAGCAGTAGCAGAGGTCTTTCTTGGGGCACTCCTTCGGTTTCTGCTGGACAGGTTATTGACTCCACTCAACTTCCTCGCGGACGGTGTTGGCAAAAAACTGAAGAAATGGAGTGAAATGTTGTCTTCAATTGAACTGGTGCTTCGTGATGCAGAGAAGAAGCAACTAACGAGCAGTGCAGTGGAGCTGTGGCTGGATGATCTCAAAGACTTGGCTTATGATATCGAAGATATCCTCGACAAGTTTTATACTGAGATGTTACGGCGCAAGTTGGACGAACAACGTGGGGCTACAACAAGTAAGGTACGAAGCCTAATTCCTAGATTTGAAGTCCACTTTAATATTAACTTCGAAATAAAGGAGATTACCAATCGGCTACAAGCCATATCTGAACGAAAAGATAAACTTGGGTTAAGTTTAGATGGTATTGGATCTTCCTCCACTAAGCCTTGGCCAAGGCCACCAAGTTCATGTGTTCTGAATGGAGTGCCTGTTGTTGGAAGAGATAGTGACAAAGTAAAGATTGTTGAATTGTTGTCAAGAAACTATGAGCCTAATGCTATCAATTTTCAAGTAGTTGCGATTGTTGGCATGCCTGGAGTTGGGAAAACAACACTGGCTCAATTTGTATTCAATGAGGATGATGTCCTGAAACAGTTTGATCTTAAGGCATGGGTATCCGTGTCTGATGAATTCGACGTTGTAAGAGTAACAAAGGCAATTCTTGAATCAGTCATGTCCGAACGCTGTGATTTGGAGGAATTCAGTAACATTCAGAACAATTTGAGCAAAGCATTGGCAGGAAAAAAGTTTCTGATTGTTTTAGATGATGTCTGGAATACATGTGACTATAATCTATGGACAATGCTGCAATCCCCCTTTTGTGTTGGAGCATTGGGAAGTAAGATAATCGTGACAACACGTGATGCAGAAGTTCCAAGAATGATGAGATCCACTGAAGTTCACAATTTGAGCGGTATATCAAATGGTGATTGCTGGAAAGTATTTGTGCAACATGCATTTTTTAATATTGAAAAAAGCTCCAGACCAACGAAGTATGAATTACTTCAGGAGAAAATTCTTGCAAAATGTTGTGGGTTGCCCTTGGCAGCAAGGACTCTTGGTGGTCTTTTAGGTTGTAAAGAAATAAATGAATGGGAGGAAATATTGAACAACAAATTGTGGTTTCTATCTGATAAGAGTGGAATTCTCCCAGTATTAAAAATTAGCTACCATTATCTCCCTTCAACTTTGAAAAGGTGTTTTGCCTATTGCTCAATACTTCCAAATGACTATGAATTTGGGGAGACACAGTTGATCCTTCTATGGATGGCAGAAGATTTGATTCAGAAACCAGAAGAAAATAAACAATTGGAAGACGTAGGCCGTGAGTACTTTCAAGAGCTTGTGTCTAGGTCATTATTTCAAAAATCAAGCAAACAAGATTCAAGATATGTGATGCATCACCTCATTAGTGATTTGGCACAAAGGGTTTCCGGAGAAACCTGTTTAAGATTGGAGGATATCTTGGATGGTAGATGGTCTCCGAAGACTCGTCATTTGTCTTACACTGCTGGTAAATATGATGGAGTTAAAAGATTTGAGGGGTTTGCTAAAGCAAAAGTTTTGCGGACTTTTCTACCACTTTCAATTTCACAGGACCCATTTAATTATTTGACTTGTAGGGTTACTTTTGAGTTATTGCCAAAGTTGCAATACTTACGAGTGCTCTCTTTGAATGGTTATCGATTAATCAAGCTGCCGAATTCAATTGGTGAGTTGAAGTTTCTCCGATACCTAGATCTTTCTCACACGGAAATAACGAGTTTGCCTCGTTCAATAAGCACACTTTGCAACTTACAAACGTTGATATTAGAGAATTGTTATAGTTTGAAGGCGCTACCTGCAAACATGAAGAACCTAATTAATCTGCGTCATCTCAACAATTCAAACACACCTTCATTGCAAGGAATGCCTGCACAACTAGGTCAATTGACGAATTTGAAAACATTGCATAATTTTGTGGTGAGCAAAGGTAGCGAGTCGAGTATAAGAGAGGTAGAGCCCCTATTGCATCTCCAGGGGACATTGCGCCTCTCAAGATTGCAGAATGTGAATGACATTGAGGATGTAAAGAGGGCGGACTTAATTAGCAAGGTCGGGCTTGATGTATTGCTACTAGAATGGAATGGCTTAGGAGAAAAGGAATCCGACGTGCTCGACATGTTACAACCTCATAGGAAGCTCAAAGTGCTCAGCATCAAGGGATATGGTGGTTTGGAATTTTCAAAATGGATTGGACATCCTTTACTCTCTAGCTTGACAACGGTGTGCTTAGAGGGTTGCAACTATTGCTGTCTCTTGCCATCACTTGGACAATTGCCATCTCTCAAAAAGCTTTCTATAAAAAGATTGTATGCAGTGGAAGTAGTGGGTCTTGAGTTCTATGGAACGCCTAGATTGCCTTTTCCACTGTTAGAGATCCTTGAGTTTGAGGATATGAAACATTGGAGGGAGTGGTTTCCATACGAACAAGATCAAGATCAAGGAATTAGAGTTTTCCCTTGCCTGAAAATGCTTTCCATATCCAAATGCCCCAAATTGGAGGGCAGGTTACCCGAGAACCTTGATTCACTGTCAAAGCTTGTGATTCGTGGATGTGAGCAGTTGGTGATTTCAATTTCTGACTATAAACAACTTCAGAAATTAGATATTGATGATTGCAAAAGGGTGGTCCATATAAAAGTTCAGCTTGAGTTATTGGAGGCCTTGCAGCTTTCAAGTATTGCAGAGTTCAAACTCCAAATAAAGGATTTCATGGGAGGATTACCAAAGCTTAATGATCTGGTTATTAGCGGTTGTGATGAGCTCACATCTTTATGGCAGAATGAAGATAAATTGCTCCATGACCTGATTTCTCTTCATTGTTTGGTTATTGGAGACAACCCTCACCCCCATCTTGTTCAAAATCTTGTATCACTCCAAGAGCTTCACATATATGACTGCCCAAGTCTGATTTCTTTTCAAGAGTTTCTTTTGCCACCTTTTGTCAAGGAAATAAAAATTGAGCGGTGCAGTTCTCTTGTGTATTTTGCAAGATGCCGGATACCTCCAAATCTAAGAAGAATGGATATTATGTTATGCGAAAATTTGAAATCACTGCTGGAGGAAGAGAAGGTAAAGGGTTCTTCGTCTTCCCCTTCTCCTTACCTGGTGAAAGAAGAGGAATCTTGTCTTGAGTACTTGAGTATAGAGGATTGTCCATTGCTAACATCCTTGTCATTCGAAGACCATCTTCCCAGGAAGCTTAAACACCTTCGCATAAGCGATTGTGAACAGCTAGAGACAATAACCAATAGGTTCAAGCATAACACTTGCCTTGAAGAAATTAAGATCTCGCGTTGTACAAATCTCAAGTGTTTACCGGAAGGCCTATGCTACCTCACCAATCTTCAAGAGTTAGGTATTTATGACTGTGCAAGTCTTGTTTCCTTCCCCGAAGGAGGGTTGCCACAAAGCGCTGCCTACCTAAGAGAGATCGACATCAGCTACTGCAACAAATTGGAGGCGCTACCCAAAGGCATACATGACCTCAACTCTCTTCAGATATTGAGCATTTCTTGTTGCGAAGGTTTCACGCCGTTTCTAGAAGATGGTTTTCCCCCTAACTTAATACAGCTTACAATTTATAATCTCAAGAGCTGTAAGGCATTCTTGGACTTGGGGTTGCACAGGCTCACCTCTCTTAGAGAACTGGAAATTCGCAGCAAAGACCCAGACGTGTTGTTCTTCCCTCCTGAGAAAGAGATGGTGCAAATTAGATATTGATGATTGCAAAAGGGTGGTCCATATAAAAGTTCAGCTTGAGTTATTGGAGGCCTTGCAGCTTTCAAGTATTGCAGAGTTCAAACTCCAAATAAAGGATTTCATGGGAGGATTACCAAAGCTTAATGATCTGGTTATTAGCGGTTGTGATGAGCTCACATCTTTATGGCAGAATGAAGATAAATTGCTCCATGACCTGATTTCTCTTCATTGTTTGGTTATTGGAGACAACCCTCACCCCCATCTTGTTCAAAATCTTGTATCACTCCAAGAGCTTCACATATATGACTGCCCAAGTCTGATTTCTTTTCAAGAGTTTCTTTTGCCACCTTTTGTCAAGGAAATAAAAATTGAGCGGTGCAGTTCTCTTGTGTATTTTGCAAGATGCCGGATACCTCCAAATCTAAGAAGAATGGATATTATGTTATGCGAAAATTTGAAATCACTGCTGGAGGAAGAGAAGGTAAAGGGTTCTTCGTCTTCCCCTTCTCCTTACCTGGTGAAAGAAGAGGAATCTTGTCTTGAGTACTTGAGTATAGAGGATTGTCCATTGCTAACATCCTTGTCATTCGAAGACCATCTTCCCAGGAAGCTTAAACACCTTCGCATAAGCGATTGTGAACAGCTAGAGACAATAACCAATAGGTTCAAGCATAACACTTGCCTTGAAGAAATTAAGATCTCGCGTTGTACAAATCTCAAGTGTTTACCGGAAGGCCTACCTCACCAATCTTCAAGAGTTAGGTATTTATGACTGTGCAAGTCTTGTTTCCTTCCCCGAAGGAGGGTTGCCACAAAGCGCTGCCTACCTAAGAGAGATCGACATCAGCTACTGCAACAAATTGGAGGCGCTACCCAAAGGCATACATGACCTCAACTCTCTTCAGATATTGAGCATTTCTTGTTGTGAAGGTTTCACGCCGTTTCTAGAAGATGGTTTTCCCCCTAACTTAATACAGCTTACAATTTATAATCTCAAGAGCTGTAAGGAATTCTTGGACTTGGTGTTGCACAGGCTCACCTCTCTTAGAGAACTGGAAATTCGCGGCAAAGACCCAGACGTGTTGTTCTTCCCTCCTGAGAAAGAGATGGTGCTTCCTAAATCTCTCATTCGACTTACAATTCAGGACTTCCCGAATCTCGTTAAACTCAGCAACGGCTTTCAACTCCTCAACTGTCTTCAATCTTTTCACATCGAGGGGTGTCCTAAGCTAGCATCAATGGCAGAGGAGAGTCTTCCTCTATCACTTACACAACTTACTATCTATCACTGTCCGCTGCTAGAAGAGAGATGCAAACCAAGTAAGGGAAGATATTGGCCCTCCATAGCGCACATCCCTTACATAAGGATTCATAACCACGTGCATAGAGCAAATCCAGATCATAGCCCGCGCCTCCCGTTCTCGTGCTCTCCTTCCAGGTACTTCCAACATGAGACAACAATCAAAACCATTATTATTTGTTTTCACTAATTATAAACTTTTATGATATGTAATTTATTATATTTCACGAGCAGATCAGAGGACCAAGCTAGCTATCACCAACACATAAATTTCTTTCCTTAAAGCGATCTTATCGGAGATCAATTACGGTAAGCAAGATCATCATCCTATTTTTATATTCCTACTAGATTAGTGACCAAACCTTTTGGTAATCTGAACACATAAAAAAACACCAGTGTTTTATTGTCACTGATTTATCCTTTTCATAATCCATGCTTGTTGTTGCCATGCTTACCTATGACATGGTTCGGAGATAACCCTAACATATATATAAAAAAATTACTAAATTCAATTCTGAGTCAAATGTTAGTTGGGATCAAAAGGGTGAAGTGGAGCCCACCAATACAATGGGGCCCACCTTTATTAGAGAGATGGTATGAATGTGGTATGAAAAATGTGATAAGCCTAGCATTTTCCTTTATTTTATTCACTACACCAAATTGAAGCTTTTACGACATGCTTTTTGTGCTTGTCGTTAATATCTAATATTTACGGCATATGGCAAAGCACACCTTAAAAAGATAACAAAGCGTGCCGTTAATAACTGATATTTACGGCATGTGAAAACACGTCTTAAAAAAGTAATTTTGTGTCTTTTAACAGCATGTTTAGATATACACCGTAAAGTTTATTTATTTTTTTTAAATCTATTACGGCGTGCAAGTACGCCCTGATTGTTTTTGTTTTTTTGGCTTTTTCACGAAACCCCCTAATTATATTTGATAACCCGCTAAACATATGGCCTTTTTTTAAATTTCCCTCATTTTAGTTTTCCTTCAGACCGGAACATTCTCATCACTTCTCTCTCCCTCTCGCTCCCTCTCCCTCTCTCACAATTTTAGGATTCTCTTTTTTTTTTTGGAAGCAATTTTAGGATTCTCTTTCACTGGACCATTCAAGAGCTCTAGCTCCTTGTTTGCTAGAAGACTATTGCTCGAGCCCTATTAATTCAAAGTTGAATGCTCAGTGACAGTCCCAAGGTGCGATTCTCAAAAGCCCTAACCCCTAATGCTTGATTATGAGTTTTCTTGTAGTTTAGAATCATGTTCCCTACTGCATTCATGTAGTTAGAGGCCTCATTGCTTTAATTCTTGATTTATACAACATATTATTTTCGTTTAAATTCAGAAAAATTGATATCGTTAACTATACTATTTTTCTCGATTAATTTAAATATTCATTGTTTCAAGCTCGATCTCTGTACGTCTTGGATTCAGTGTTCAGTGCTGAATCGGATTTCAATTTTCGTTTCGTATTTTTAAAATTCTGTTTGATTTGCTCTGTTTTTCTTAATATAAAAAAACTCCTGAAATATATGAGTATCTCTTCGTTTAAGTAATTCAGTTAGATTTCTCGGTGAGATCGAACTAGTTTTCCCCGATTCTGTAGACGTAAGTTTTGAGCGAATTTTGCTTCAAAACTGAGGAATCGAATTTCTAATAGTAACGTGTGGGTTTTGTGCAGTGATTGCTCAGGGAATCAATGCCGGAGATATTAATAAGTTTGAAGACGCTGGGATCTACACCTGCAATGGCTTGATGATGCATATGAAGAAGGTAAAACGAATTTAAACTCTAATTTCTTATACTGAGCATGTTAAGGTCCGATTCCTTACTCTGATTTCTGTTTGGCAGAACTTGACTGGAATCAAAGGTTTATCTGAGGCTAAAGTTGATAAGATATGCGAAGCTGCTGAAAACCATTTCAGCTAAGAGATTTTATTTCTCATATGTGTTCCTTCATTGTAAGCATTTATGTTGCTGAAATGTTCAGAGACAAATTCAACTTGTTATTCATAGTTTGAGAGAGGTAAAATCTTGTTGAAATGTTCCAATTCATATAAGAATCAAAAAGTTATGTACTTTATATTAGGAACTTGTAGTTTCATGTTTAACTTCAGCAATTTTTTTGTTTATCAGGCTCTAGATGGCGCTGACAGGTTCCAGAATACCCATCAAAGGCAACAATTTCAATATGCAGAATTTAGTATAGATCAGGTAACTTTCATGTGGCACATTTTTCCTTCATATATTAATTGTTGTTATCGTTGTTAAGGGATTTAGTGCCTTTCTCTTTGTAGTGAGTTATGGCTATAAGGCTAAGCATATCTTGGCTAGGTTGTATTCATTCTAGAGTCGCAAAGAAAAAACTTCTTTTGGATGATATGGCAGCAGAGGAAACATTAGAGGTAAAATCTATCAGTCATTTATCTGGTTCTGTAACTTTCATGTGGTACATTTTTCTTTCGTATATTATTTGTTGTTATCGTTGTTAAGGGATTTAGTGCCTTTCTCTTTCTAGTGAGTTATGGCTATAAGGCTAAACATATCTTGGTCAGGTTGTATTCATTCTAGAGTCGCAAAGGACATACTTCTTTTGGATGATATGGCAGCAGAGGAAACATTAGAGGTAAAATCTATCAGTCATTTATCTGGTTCTTGTACGTTTGATGCGTTATCTGTCTTTCAAGATATAAATTGTTCTAGTGAAATGTGATTGTTTTTGTGTAAAGAACAAAGTGAAGAACAACAAGTTCTGCCTCTGTTCATTTTTTCTGTATTGATGAAAAGGCATACACATAATTTTCTGGATATACAGGAGACAAATATTTTTCCACCATTTTCCTTAATAATGCATACTTCAATCATAATATATGTCTTCTAAGTTCTAATATTCTTATTTTGTTTTTGTTTTTATTCTTTCCTTTGGCAAATTTTTTCCTTAATAATGCACACTTCAATCATAACATTCCGGCTTAGTTTTGCCCTTTTATCATGAGGTTTTTCCTTTGGCAAATTACAATGGTTAAGTTGCTAAAATGAGTTTTCAAACAAAATGCAGGTGGCCATTGCCGCAGATCAAGTGTGAGTTTGATTCTTGTTAGATAATGTCTACGGCCAGTGCTATCATGAGGTTTTTGCATAGGTTACGTTGTAGGTTTGTCAGCACTATTATGAGTGAATGAGTTGGAGGCTGTGTACAAGTTAATTGTAGATTTGG